GCAGAACCACTTCGCCCCCGCCGGATACCACCACCAGATGGCCGGATACGCCACCCCCGTTCACCACCACCATCAGAACTTCCCAGGGCGCCACGCTCAAGATTGCAACAACGAATATTCTAATCAGCATCACCAGATGGTCTAAAAATGGATTCGTGGATTCAGTGGATAAGAAATAAATAATGTTTTATTTCTTCTTTTAATTTATAATATATACAAAAATATAGAATTATAATTAAAAAACAGGTTGTAAATTTTTCTAAAATTCCAAGATTATCACATTATTATTACTATTTTTTTTAACTGTCTACCTATTTATTTTGGTTCATTTTCTGCGCGATCCTTGATGATCTCCTTTTTGCTGGTATATCAATGCTATTGTCCACGCTCTTCCTCTTGGACACTTGCACTTGGCGTTGTATCCTCAATGATCTTCTGGATGGACGACCGCGTACTTTCTTAATATTATGTTTGAACTGAGTCTCACAATTTGCGTCGGTGAATTGTTTAAAACCGATTTTGAACAATGCACTGATCTGCAGATGAATTTAAAATGGTTTTACGCTGATGATCCTGAAATACATAATCTTCAATATTTTCGACCACTTCCATTGGCTCAGTCTCAGACTTAGTAATACTGAATTCAGTATTATCATGGTTACTTTCTCGTTCGGCTCATCACCGATGTACAGTACATCCTCTTCTTCCGATTCGACTCCATCAAATATAAAATCGATTGCAGCTAAGAGTACTTTAAGTTCTTCAATTTCTTTGTAATATTTTACAGCGTTCGACATGATAGATAGTAGCTGTGATTGTCAGTGAGTAAACAGCGAAAGTAATGCATAAATTGCATCGAAATTAGTGGAAGAAACTAAGAAAATTGGGAAGGAAGTATGTACATGGGATTTAAAACCTAAATATATATGAATGTATATATAAATATAAAAAAAATAAACTATACAAAAAAAAAGAATATATAGAAAAAACGGTCCCGATCCAGAGTAACCAGATTTGTTGTATTCGAAAACTAATTTCGCATGAATTAGTTGAATCGCGGATTTGTTCTGTTGTGTCCAACCGTTATTATTACAATTATTATTGTTAACATAGTGTCTCTTAGTCGCCATAATAAATATATGCATCAGCATAAAGGTAACCTTCATCGAGACCAGCTACTGAAAGAACAACGCTTATATTTTCAACCAGACGCAAATAAGCATTTTCATCGAGACCAGCTACTGAAAGAACATCGCTCATATTTTCAACTCAGACGCAGAATTGGCAAAATCCGTATAGGACGTCTTATCAAAACCGTGCCCTACTTCTCGAACTCCCATCTCCTTGCTTAGTTAACTTTATACGTAGAATAAGTATTTGTAATTAGTCGAAGAGGAGCGCCTTATCAAAATCCGTGCTTACTCCTCATTTGCTTAGTTAATTTTATACGTAGATAAGATTTGTAATTAGTCTTAGGAAGAACGTAAAGAATCAAGTCGTATCGAATATTTTAATAATAAACCAAAGTAAAACTCGTTAATTATTATTTACCAAACCTAAGGCTCCACAACAGAAATCAGAAGAAGATTTCCCACAGTGTCCAGAAAATCATCCCTGGGACACGACAGTTCTATGTACAATATGTAGATATAATATATTTATATAGTTTTTTTTTCATGTATAAAAGTATATGTACAAACTTAAATAATTGAAATGATGGAAGATTTAAATGATATATACACAGAGAGATAGAGTGAAAATGATATGATCGAAATTATTGGATTGTCGCGTATTATATACAAGTTAGCTTTTCCTCGTTATTTTTGTCCCATCATTTTGTACTTGACTGCAATAATTCTTAAAAACTAAATAACACACTTACGTTTTGCTTCGTTTCAAATGATCGAGCTGGGGGGACAACGTTATTGCAAATCATTCATTTCCCCTTTTAAACCATCTGGTTATAATCTTGAGCGTGGCGCGCTTGGAAGTTCTGATGGTGGTGGTATCCGGCGGGGGCGGCGTATCCGGCCATCTGGTGGTGGTATCCGGCGGGGGCGACGTGGTTTTGCGGTTGCTGAGCAACGGCAGCGGCGGCGGCCGCTTGATGGTTGAAATATTCTACTGGGTAATAGGCGGCGGCGGCGGCAGCGGCGGTTCCGGGATGGTTGTAGTTCTGTGCCCCGTAGTAATGGTGGTGATGGGGGGAGGCGGTATGTTGGCCGTTGTGACCGTTATGCCAGCCGTATGCGTTGTAGTCCTGTTGATAGGCGAAGGAACCGGTACCCGGGGTCACCGGTGGCGAGGGCGTCGCGACGCTGCTAGTGCTGCTTCCGCCCATAGAATTCTGACGGTAGTGGGCGACCTGGGGCGACTCGCGCTTCACGTACACTGGCGGAGAGGCAGAGGCGGCGGGTAGCGGGATGAGGGGGACCTGCGGGGCCACCACCGGCGGAGGCACCACGGCCGCGGCAACAGGAGGAGGTGCCACCACCGGGGCTGGCTGATGATGCACCACCGGAGATGATACCCTTGGAGGGTTCGCTACCCTCTGCTGAGCAGCTACCTGAGCCACCTCATTCTGCTGTTGTTGCTGCTGATTTCTATTCTGTCTCCCCTGTTGCTGCTGTTGCTGTTGCTGACGCTGCTGCTGGTTTTGTTGCAATTGTTGCCTGCATTTTGCACGTCTATTTTTAAACCACACCTTTAAACAAAACACAAAATTTAGAAATTTGTTAACAATATAAATCATATTATCAAACACAAAGATTAAATCAATTCCTTTATACAGACTGTTTTCAGACATCCCAGAACTCATACGATTATGTTTAATGACATTCTGATTGATTAATATTCCAAAATAGAATAGTTAATTGTTAAAGCGCACCGAAGCAGAAGTTGCCATTCACCATTCATTTTTTTATGCGAGTGTGTTGATTTTGATTTTGAAAACCCTCCCTTATTCGTCCTATTCCGTCCTTCTTTTGGATAGTTGGGAACAACCCTCGTATACGACCGCAATGTATATTTTATTCAATGCCGTAACAACATATAACAGTGACAGCAGACGGGGCGAGACCCCTGAATAGGACGAATAAGGGAGTGTTTTCAAAATCAAAATCAACACACTCGCATAAAAAAAATGAAATAGGAAAAAAATATCTCCCATTAACGAAATCCCACTTTGATGCGATTTATGTATATTCTTTTTTTTGCTAGTGAATGGCCACTTCTGCTTCGGTGCGCTTTAGCCATTAACTATTCTATTTTGGAATATGAATCAATCAGAATGTCATTAAACATAATCGTATGAGTTCTGGGATGTCTGAAAACAGTCTGTATAAAGGAATTGATTTAATCTTTGTGTTTGATAATATGATTTATATTGTTAACAAATTTCTAAATTTTGTGTTTTGTTTAAAGGTGTGGTTTAAAAATAGACGTGCAAAATGCAGGCAACAATTGCAACAAAACCAGCAGCAGCGTCAGCAACAGCAACAGCAGCAACAGGGGAGACAGAATAGAAATCAGCAGCAACAACAGCAGAATGAGGTGGCTCAGGTAGCTGCTCAGCAGAGGGTAGCGAACCCTCCAAGGGTATCATCTCCGGTGGTGCATCATCAGCCAGCCCCGGTGGTGGCACCTCCTCCTGTTGCCGCGGCCGTGGTGCCTCCGCCGGTGGTGGCCCCGCAGGTCCCCCTCATCCCGCTACCCGCCGCCTCTGCCTCTCCGCCAGTGTACGTGAAGCGCGAGTCGCCCCAGGTCGCCCACTACCGTCAGAATTCTATGGGCGGAAGCAGCACTAGCAGCGTCGCGACGCCCTCGCCTCCGGTGACGCCGGGTTCCGGTTCCTTCGCCTATCAACAGGACTACAACGCATACGGCTGGCATAACGGTCACAACGGCCAACATACCGCCTCCCCCCACACCACCATTACTACGGGGCACAGAACTACAACCATCCCGGAACCGCCGCTGCCGCCGCCGCCGCCTATTACCCAGTAGAATATTTCAACCATCAAGCGGCCGCCGCCGCTGCCGTTGCTCAGCAACCGCAAAACCACGTCGCCCCCGCCGGATACCACCACCAGATGGCCGGATAC